TTGCTTCCTCCTTTCTCATGATCCCTTATATTTTCATGACCTATAGACATATAAATGTAAATACATACATATGCACAAATATTTATAATTTAAAATCTAAGTTTTTCATAAAAGAAAACATTCAGTATTTGTCCTTCAGAGTGTGGCTTATTTCACAAGACATGATTTCCTGTTGTATCAACTTTCTTGAAACTACATGATTTATTCTTTACAGCTGCATTTGTCCATGTACCTCTATGTATGTCTGTTCTGTGTTTTTTGTTGTTGCTTTTCTAGGTTGGTTCTCCTTCCCAGGCTGGCCTCAAAACATTGTAAAATAATCTTTTTGTATACTTAATATGAGTCACTATGATTGGTTTAATAAAAAGTTGACTGGCCAATAACTAGGAAGAATTTTCAGGACAGAGACAATGCTAAGAAGAAGAAAAGAGTTGTAAGGAGACTCTAGAGATGCAGAGAAAGCAGCATTGGTTTCACCAAGTAAATGTAACCAAGTCACATAAAAGAACATAGATTGAAAAATGGGTTAATTTAAGATATATGAACTAATTAGAAAGAAACAAATCTAAGCTATCAGCCAAGATTTCATAATCTTTTATTTCAAGATTAATAAGAAGTCTCTGCATCATGATATGGGAGCTGGCTGGCGGGATAGAGAAGGACTTGCAACATATGGCACCCAATGTGGGGCCACATACAGCCTGAAAAAGATTCAGAGAATTTGCAACACAGAGTCAAACATGGTTTCCTGGTGGCCATAGTCTCTCAGATAGGCTAGAGGCTAGCGGTATACAGAGGCATGTCTCTTTTAAGAGGCCTTGCTAATAAGCACTTGAATAGGGTTTATGAGCAGTGGGCAGTATGCTACTTCATAGCATGAGATGAGGTAGAAATGCCTACAGCATCATGGACACAGAGACTTCCCAAAGTTGGGGTAGTAAACATGACTCTGGTCAGTACCTCTACCATGAGGCTAGGCTCTCAGAAAATAGACGGGGTGGAGCCAGCTACCAGCACACCATGAGTTAAGCTTCACTTAAGATTTTGTTCATGCAAACAGAAAAGGTTACACATATAAAGTAAAACGGGTTTAGATGGAAAATAGCCTCTATACAAGACAGAGTGCATTTAACAATATATGTAGGCATAAGAAAGAAAGGTATAGTCATAAACAAATAAAGTAATAAAAAAATAATAAGTCACACAAAGATAGGAAATATACAGGAAGTCTGATCCTGTATCATTATTATTTTATTGTGATGTCTGTGAATTTTTTTAATGCGGATAAGCAAATGACAGCTGCTGGTAGATGAGATTGTGAAAGGGACTGCTGAAATAAACCAGCCTAGGAACTTTAAGAATGCCCTAAATAAACCAGTCTAGAAACTTTAAGAATGCCTTAACTTTCAAACAGAATTCAAAAAAAAAAAAAAAAGTCTTGCTTTGGGGAAGGGGTTATCCTTTTGTTTCCTGTGGAACAGGAACAGGTTGTGGGTCTGTTCAAGATTGATAAGGGATCAGATTTGATCAGAGAAGACCCCCTGAAAGCCTGCTTACAGACAGATATAAACCTAAAATAACTACAAGACAGACAACATATATTTTACCTGCTCAAACAAACAACAACACATCTTTGGCAGGTTCATATACAACACATATCCCATACTTGTGTTAATGTATGTTACCTTTCAAAGTTTGTGTTTTCAGAGCAAGGGGATAAGACGCCAATAAAAATGGATGACCCAGGTGATGCAGCCTCTCAGATTGCCTCTGTTGCAGTATCATACCTCAGAGTTCTGCATCCAGAACAGCTTCAAGGCTGCTGGCTGAGATGGTCCATCCTCACTGACTATTCTAACCAGAACTTTACTATTATCATAATTTTCTCACAGTACTCCAAAGATGCCATTACCTCCAGACAACAGAAAGCAGTTTAGAGAACACAATGCACCCATTCCCAAGAGGTGGGGTGGGTGGGTTTTGGGTTTTTTTGTTATTGTTGTCATTTGTTGGGCTATAGATGCTTCTCATTACTTGAAGGGGGTTACAATTTGTTACTGGTCATGGTCAGGAAAAAAGCTAAATGAAGGAGTTTAGATTCAGGGATCTCTTTCTGAAGGTAAAAGGAGAAATACGGTATAAATATTATGGGATAAAAGTGTGCATTGTTGAGTTTACTTTTGAACAACCACTGTTTCAAATATTTTACATTGGTATGGATTTTTGGTATATTGATATAAATTTAAGGTTATTTTTTGTTATACTGAATTATGTTGTGGTATTGCTCTTATGTAGATCATTTAAAAATGTAATGTATAACTAAAAGATGCAGTTTAGTAGTCATCTTTAATAATCAAACTTGTAGTCCTATTAGGTATGTTTTCAAGGTTAAGCCTATATATTCAGATAGATGGTCTTCAAACACTTCAAAGACTTACAGAATATGGCATTTAAGATTGGATAACCTGAGGCTTTTCAGAACAGTGAGACATGTCTGCTCCTGGCAGCACCAACTTACTTCAGAAAAGATAATGGGCATTGAAGAAATCTTTTCTGGAGCTTAATTTCATTGTGGCAAGGTTGGCCACTAGGCAAAGAAACTGTTCTTGCCTTGACTGCTGACAGTATGTTGTACAAACTGGATAAGCAGGGCACAAAGGAAAAAAGACTACCAAACTTTGCCAAGATGAAGCAGGACAGTCCTTAAAAATTCCTGCTTCATAGAAAAGTCTGTCAGATATTCTAGGGCTACAGGGTAAGGATAGATGTCTCAACATTGAAGAGGATATTGAGTGACTGTCCAGACAGCCAGATGTCTCGAATTCTATAGGTCTGAAAGCAGCTTGCACTGCACTTCCTGTTCACTCAGACAATATTGTCCTTCTGGGGTCTTTGATGGAATTGAAGAATAGTTCAGTTTTCCTTAGTTATAATAAAAGATAAATTAGTATAAAACTTTGGACTCATCAAGAGAGGATAAAGGAGTATTTTCTTTTCTTTTCTTTTTTTTCCTTAAGGTAATTTAAGAGTGAACTGAGTTTCCCCACTAGTGGGAAATACGGGAGGACAGGGTTTTCTCAGACCAGAAAGGTGGCTGGCTTACTTGGGCTGGTGCTAGAAAACAGCTTCCATCTGGGAGGCCTTTGTGGTGGTAGCTGGTTAGGGCTGCCCACAGAAATGTGATTTAGGAGTATTTTCTCTAAATTTGCCAAATACAAAAGGACTGGGCATTTTAAATTTAATTCTTATTTGATAATTGTTCTTACTGTATAGAGTTTCATTTTTTTAAAGTTAATACCTTTCTTTTCTATTTAGAAAATATCTGATAATTGTTTCTATTGTATATAGCTTTACTATGTTAGAGTAATTTTTTTTCCTTTAGACAAAAAGGGGAAAATGCTGTATAATGGTCTTTTATGCACTGTTAATATGTGCCACTAATTGGTTTGCTAAAAATGGCCAATAGCTAGGCAAGACTTTCAGGACACAGAGAATGCTGGGGAGAGGAAGGGCAGAGTCGTGAGGAGACACCATGGATGCAGAAAAAGCAGCATGGGCTTCACAAAGTAAAGGTAACTGAACCACATAAAAGAATATAGATTAAAATATTTGGGTTAATTTAAGTTATAAGGACTAGTTAAAACAAGCCTAAGCTATTGCTCAAGCTTTCACAATTAATAAGAAGTCTTTTTGTCACAATTTGTGAGCTTAGTAGCTATACAAATAGATTCACATCAAATCTATGGTCTTTGTGCCTTAACATCCACAGTACTGTGATTTCAGGCTTGTAGCCATACTGGTTTTGAACCTTCAAATTCTCTCAATACTGTTTTTATCTTCAGTATCCATCATTCTTCCTTCTCAAATGCCCCTTCCTATTCTTTCTGGGCTTTCCATCCACGCGCTATGTACAACATTTTTCTCTTTCTCCTTTCCTTTTTTTTAATTCTTCCTTTCATCTCTTTCCCCTATCCCCGTTTCCTTTCCTTCTGTGGTCTTGTCTTCCTGGTTCTTTCAAAAGTCTCTATGTAATCTCTGCCTGTGTTACTTAATGTTTATTCCCCTTGAATTGTTACTCTCTCAGCAGAAGCTATATTTCTCCAGTTTTCTCCGGTATCTCCCAAGAAGACAAACTCCACATGTCATCTCACCACCTGCTCTACCCCGAGAGCAGGCCCACGTTCTTTGCACATTTTTTTTTATTTTCTTTTAGTTGTTTCTATCTTAGATTTTAGTCCAGCTTTCTCTTCTGGGTAACTGTTTTTTGACACTCCCTCCCACTGCTTCTTTGGAGACTGGTTCCTGCTTTGTATTAGGCTTGTGTGTTTTTCCAGTCTGCTGGCTTCTTTCTTCCTGGTGTTAGATGACAGTCATAGGCTGCCATGACAGGCTCTGCTTTTTGTCCCCACGGCATTTATTTTTGGATATCCCCTGAGATGGCCCTCTACTCCCCATTGTCTCTGCTTTGCTCTCTTCCATGACACTCAGTCCCTCTTGCATACTCCTAAAGACAGCATGGTCTAACCACACACGGATCCTGTGGTTTGATTTCTGACTTAAGTGACAATGGTCACCAAACTTCCATCTTAGAGGAAGAAGTTTTCCTATAGCACTTCTGAAGACAATGACCTCACTATCCTGGGTATAAAGACCCCAGTGTGGGGTTGCAGGTTGCTTTAAGCAAGAGACTACAAGGGTGTGCTTGGGTCTCTGCTCTTACCTTCTGACTTGGACGAGGAATACTGTATAACTTCAGACAGAGAAGCTCCATCTAAGCTTAATAACATCTTTCCTGCAGCCAGTGCCTATCAGCTAATAACAATGTCCTTGGAGAGCTACTCTGGAGGAGAACATGATGAAGACACTGATCCGCGGATGGGGAGTATCTTCAGGCCATGATACTATGTGTGTGGGAATGGACATAAATCTTGATGTGGCAGTGAGGAATCCTGTCAACAGAGGAAGACCTGTGTAGGGAACCAAAACTCTCAGGCAGAGACTTCATCTCTGTTGAAGTTTTATTGGTCCTATGAGCCAAGGCTCCCCACAGCCCCCAGGCTACAACCTGAGGGTGGCTCTGACCAAATGCAGAGTCCACTGCTCCCCAGGCTCTGTCCAGTTGCTCAAAGGGATAAAGGGAGACGAGATAAAAAGGGAAGTGCTGGAAACAGATCATCAGTCCTCTTCCTACCTTGAGGAGGACCTCCCTATCTCCCAGGGTCACCAGCCCAGCATCTGGATATCCATCCACAATGCTGGAGGGCAACCCTCAATGTCAGTCCTAGGTTGTCTATGTGGACTGGGTGTGCCCATTGGCCAGACGCCCAGCTGCCCGGCTCCGTGGGCCATTGGCGATGGCTGGGCCAGACCCTCGAGTCACCCCGTTCTTCAGTTGAGGACTTTCAGGAACTGCCCCGTCATCACTGGAGTCTGATTCTTCTGCATCACTACGAATGTCCTTTGCCATCTGTGAAAACAGACGAGGCCAGAGCTCAGAACATAGTGAGGAGCACTGAGACAAGGAGGAGAATTGGGATCCGACCCTCTTAGGCCTCCATACCTGACCCTTCCACAGGAAACTGAAGATCATGCGCAGGATGAGACAGAACCAGTACACATGAAGGATCTGCAGCATCACCAGGAGCACATTAAAGTAATAGTAGCCGAAGAAGGGACTCATGTTCTTCATGGAGTCAAACAGAGTGGAATAGAGGACCCTAAAGCAGGAAGCAAGAAGGAGTTTCACCAGCCTGTATAGCTCCCCATTCTGGGAACTTGCACGGATCATCTGTGCTCCTGAGCCTCCCTAGTGCCCACTCCTGAGATGGTATCTCCCTTGACCTGCTTATGCTAAGTCAGTGAAGCATATAAAGTGTATCAACTGACCTTTCTCTACCATAACTACAAGGCAGTAACAAGTGTACCACTGGCCCTCCCAGGTAACCCTTTATGATTACCCATCTGTCCTTAGATACAGTGTAACTCTTCACATCAACCTGAGACTTACATACTCATCTCACAGGGCCACTGGATGTCAGTCAGAGACAATGTTCCTAAACCCACTATACCGACTCTGCAAGGTCACAGCTCTCGTGTCCTACACATATCCTCTACCATCAAAACTAACCCTGATGCTATTTCATATGCAAGAAAGAAAAATCCAACCACATCCCCTTGATTAATCTTTGTCCCTAGCTACTTCTTTTCTTTTCCCCAATGCTCTTATGCCTTCTAGAAGCCCAAATGCCTATCCCCCCTCTCCTCTACTGCTTCTTCTGCACTCTCTCCCTTCCTCCTTCTCTCCTTCCTCCCTCCTCCATACTTACCTGTCCCTTCTCCACACTCATCTCCCTCCTCCGCAATCCTCCTCCATCTTCTTCACCAACTTCCACTCCCTTCTTTAGACTTTCCTTCCATCTTTTTTCATCTTCCTCCCCTCTTTTCATTTTCACTTTTTGCTCCATTTTATTATCCATCTTCTCCATTTACTTTCTTTCTTTTCCCCTTCCTTCTCTCACCCCTCTGACTCCTCCTCTCTACCCAACCCTGTACCTAAGGGGCACTAAACAAGACCTTTCTCACTGAACTTCACTACTGGTCCAGTCTTCAGCTCTCGGAATTTCTCCATCACTCTCCAACAAAAACAAGAGAGCTCTAGGAGTTGGGTTGTATCGATACTTTTGCCCCAGATGACACTGCCCAGCCCCCTGCTGCAAATGCCTGCCACAGGCTGGCAACTCCTGCATTTACACGCCCACCCTTCCAGAGAGCCCAAGCTGACAGGCCATCTGCCTCCATGTCTACCAAGGAGCATAAGACCCTCAAAACCAGCACGGAGCAGCTAGGCTCCTGATGCCTCCGGAAGTTTCTCCTAGTCCTGATGGTGTCCCCTTCTGGCCATCTCCTCTCACCTGCTCTGGTTTATCTGCCCCAGCTTCCCACATCTGCCTCAGTCCTCTATGGCTCCCACCTCCCTTCAGATAACATCCCATAGAATCCTTCATTACTTCCCCTGGCCACCTACCTGCATGCACCTTATCCTTCTCTCTGTTCCAAACTCATTTCTGTTCTTCCAAGACTGGAACACACTCAAGTCTCGGAGTCTTTACATATGCTGCTCTCTCCACCTGGACCATCTTCCTCTATGATCAGTATGGTTCTTGAGCCCCATTCATTCTCTATACACAACAGCTATCAGTGAAACACCCCTGAAGAGGGACTAATCCAGGGCCAACTACCTGCAAACCTGCTTCCTTCACAGTTCCTAGTTTCATTTTCTCTTCCGTGCTATCAGTCCCTTGTGCCTTGTGGTCTGTTGCTTGCCTGTCTATCCTTTTCCTCATCCATATCAATTAGCTCCAGGGCAGACACTTGCATTGCTCTCTCTGATATTTCTTCCCTCCCTAACACAGTTCAGAGACTCAACAAATATCAAAAAAAAAAAAAATGTTTACTAGACAATTTTAGTGACCAGGCACTCAGACAGCCTCCTCCTCTCTCTTCCTGTCTTGGGAGTGCACTATATTAGTGCTGTATTCGGTTTCTGTTTCTCTGACTCTGGGCCTTTGCATATGCTGTGCTCTGGGCCAGGCACACCATTTCCTGCCTCCTGGAAAAACTTCAGCCAACACCTCCAGTTCCCTGAAGTAGAGCACCAAGGGTGAGGCCTTCATGGATCCTGAGCACACCCTCCCATCTCCCTGTCCCTCAGGACTCACTGGGTGGGGAAGAAGATGAGGCGAGTGTAGAAGAAGACTAAGGAGAAGATGATGAAGAGAGCGTTGCACACTCGCCGAAAGTGGGAATAGTTGAACATCTTACAAGCCTGGGGAGAGCAGCAAAGAGAAATAGGTTTAGGACCGAGAATCCATGGAAAGTGGTGGATCAGACAATGGGGATCCTTTACTTGGGGACAAGAAGCTATGGGGGGAGCAAGTGATTGAGCTAAGGTTGTATCTCCAGAACTATGTAGGAAGGACAAAAAAAAAAAAAAAAGAGTGATAAGACAGGGATAAGACACAGAGTATTTCATCTCCAGGGAGACTGGAGCATGGTGCCTCAGTTCCTGAAAGGCTGGAAAAGGCAGGGTCTCACATCCAAATGAGTCAGACAGGGATAAGGACTTCCTGTCCCAGAGAGACCAAGAGGAAATGGGCCTTACGTTGCTGAGACACTAAAGAGGGAAAAGTGAGGTTTCTTCTCCCAGAGAGATTGAGGGATTAAGGCATCATCACCCTAGCAGATTGTGAGAGACGGGGTCTATCAGATAGCCCAGTTGTGGCAGGGCCTCCTCTCCATGGCCAGGACAACAGCAGGGTTGGCAGGGCAAGTGGAGAGGTGAACCTACCTCCAGCAGGTAGTCGGAGCAATCATGCAGCAGCAGCACCACGGAGCCAATGCGCAGCAAGTTGGAGCTGTAGGAGAAAGCTATCAGCCCCACGGTCACAAAGTGGTGCACCACCTGCTCCTTGAAATCCTGCAGAAGACAATGGGTCACCACTGGGACAAGCCTCTGTGGCTGGAGAGCCCCATGCCTGGAAGCAAGCCTTTTCAGGAGATCTATAAGGCCTCTGGATCCCATACCTTCTGCCAGGAATCAAGAGCACCTCATAGTGCAACGCTGTGGCCAATTCATCCCACTTCAGCCTCTCCCCAGAGATTAGAGGGCATCGCCACCATGGCGCCCACACATCCAGTTTGACGTGTAACTGATAACTCACCTTGCGTTTAATGTCAAAGGGCAGAGTGATTAGCAGTGAAATGTAGAAGCCCAGCTCCAGAAGATACCACCAGTACAGGGCCAGATTCAGGGTCTATAGCAGGGTGAGGAAAGATTAATTGTGATGTGTGGCGGACCCTCCCTGGAAGGGACCCGGATGAAGATTCCCCCAGGGGAGGAGCCTCATCATCCAAGCAACAAAAGGGGCGGGGCCTCATCATACAGGCAGCTAGTGGGGCGGAGCCTCACCATACAGGCAGCTAGTGGGGCGGAGCCTTAGCATACAGGAGTTAGTGGGGTGAAGCCTCATCATATAGGCAGGGAGTGGGGCTGAGCCTCATCATGCAGGAGCTGATGGGGCGGAGCCTCATCATACAGGCAGGGAGTGGGGTGGGGGTCTCTCTTGCCTGTGACCACAGAACTGAGTTTCTCCACAGTTCACTTGACTCACCTGCTGTGGGTAATTTTCCCAGCACAAAGACAGTGTCCACAACCATGGCTCCTATGAATGAACAAAGGATCTTAAGCTCTCCAAAGGCAAAAGCCAGCCTCCTACCCTGGATCTGAACCCTCCACAACCAGGACTTCCACAGCCTTCCATGTACCGATTCCACTCTGCCCTGCTTTTATGCTTTTCAAGCAAGGGGCTCACTGTGTAGCTCACATGGTCCTCAAATCCACTGTCCGTCTGCCCACAGCGGCTGAGTGTTGGTTTTGACTGTCAACTTGACACAACTGAGAATCACCCGGGAAGGTGGTCTCAATGAGGGATTATCTCGATAAGGTTGGTCTGTGCATATCTCTACATGAGACATTTTTCCTATTTGGGTTAACTGAGATGGGAAGACCCATCCTGAATGTGGACAGCACTATTTCATAAAGTAAGCCTTGGGCTGAATGAAAAATAGTGAGCTGAACACTAACATATATGCATTCCCTAATGTCTGTTCCTGCTACTTCCCCTGCTATGGTGGACTGGGACGTCGAACCATGAGCTAAAATAAATCCTTTTTCCCTTCAGCTGCTTCTCAGAAAATTCTATCACAGCAACAGAAAAAGAAAGTAGGGCAGCATGCTCTCCCTACCATAGCTCAGCCCTGCCCTCTCCTGCTTGTTCCAGTTCTGCCTCCCACTCCTCCCCCAGCAGATTTATTCACTGCACATGGTCAGCTCCCAGTGCAAGGAGGTCTTCAGTAAGCTTGTGGTTGTGGGATAGGTGACCCTCAGGTTTACTCACATGGTAGAGGACAGAGATGCCACCCACGAAGGAACACAGATAGAAGACAAACCTCCAGCTGCAGAGGGGGAGGAAGCTAGTGAGGCAGCTGCCAAAAGAGCAGTGTCCAGGCCCCAGAGGTGGAGCTTCATCTGACAGGGAGACTGAAAAAGGGTGGGGCCTCACATCTCAGGGAGTCTGGGAAGGGAAGGACCTCAAGTGACAAGGAGGCTAGGGAGGTGAAGCCTCATCACCCACAGTCTAGGAGTGGCAGGGCTTCATTATCCAGACAGATTTGGAGGGATGGGACCTCATCACCAAGGAAGGCTAGGAGTGGGGCCTTATCATTCAAAAAGGCTACCTCCCCTGCATCCCATAATTACCTAGCTTCACAGAATTTCTTGGACAAGCAAGGACGTTCCAGGTTCCGACGTCTCCTGAACCAGCGTTGAGTCTGCCGTAGTGTGAGACCACATTGGGCAGCCAGGAGGACCATCTGGGTCTGAGCAGAGGATAATGAGGGAGAAGGGTCACAGTGGCCTAGTGCTGGTTTCCTCCTGTTGTCCCCAGATGCATGGGTCCCGCTTTGATTCCCACCCCATCCCCCTCTGGAAGCTCAAGATCTTTCCCACAGAGCCATATCCACTATAGTGAGAGGAAAGAGTGGTTGTATGGGTGGAGAGACCTCCAGAACACTGGTCCTGCTTATACAACACACAAGTCACTGGTGGAGCCTGGCATCAAGAATGAGACTGGAGAATGGGGGATACAGCTCTGTGGTGCTTGCCTAGCATGAACAAAGTCCTGGGTTCATCCCCGGCACAAGAACATGTATGAGGATGAGAGGCAGGCTTTTCTTCAGCCGCTTGGGGAGTTGAGCTTCACCCTACCCGTTGCTTAATTTTTATTGTCAACTTGGCACCACCAAGAATCAACTGGAAAAGGGTGTCTCAATACTGCCCAGAATCGTTTGGCTTATGGCCGTGTCACTGGTGAATTATCTTGATTATTGACTGATGGGAGAGGTATCACCCCTAGACAGATGGACCTGAGAGCTTTGTTAAGAAATCTGGCTGAGCCCAAGCTAGAGGTAGCAAACCAGTAAGTAGTATTCCTCCATGGCCTCTGCTTCGATTCCTGCCTCAGTTTCCTGCACTCAAATTCCTCAGTGATCGCCTGTTACTTGAAAGCATGATTCGGAATGAACCTCTTCTTCTCCAACTTGCATTCAATGTTGAGCACAGCAACAGAAAGCAGACTAGGCTACTACGCCAGGCAGGCATTACGTTCTCTGCTCTATAGAAGCTAATCTGCCAGCCAGGCTGTTGGTGTATGCCTTTAACCCCAGCACTTGGGAGCCAGAGCCCAGCGGACTGTGAGCTTAAGGTCAGCCTGGTCTACAGAGCAAATACGAGGACATCCAGAGTTACACAGAGAAACCCTGTCTCAAAAACCAAAAGCAAACCAAAAAGCTACTCTGTCCCCAGCCAGGATACACAGACTTCACTTGCACCTTCCCCTAGATAACCTGGCCCAGACCAAGCCAACTGGGTAGCCCCACCAAGGATGGGAATGGAAGCAGAGTCACAGGACAGCTTCTGGCATTCCAACCACTGGAACAGACACCTTGTCCCTCTCCAGAACAGGGAAGAAACCTACTCTTCTCACTGTGATCCCAGAATCTGTTTGGTGAGTGAACATACGGCAGATGCCCCACACTAAGAGATGTGGGGACTCATATCCCAGGAAGCCTAGCAGGGCTTCTTGAGTCCCAAGAAGTCTGGGATCATCAGGGCCTCACGTCCCCAAAAACCTAGAGGTGCAGGGGCTTATGATCCCGGAATGCTGTGAGTACCAGAGCTTCCAACCCTGGGGAACCTGAGGATAGGATCTTCAAGTCTCTGGAAGACCTGAAGGGGCAGGGCCTCATGTCCCAAGAAGTCTAAGAAGGGGCAGATTCAAGCTTTGATATCTTTAAAAGGCTTCCCCAGGTCCCAGGGAGACCAGAAAGGGTGGGACTTCATAACTCAGGAAGCATAAAAGGGGGCAGACCCTTATGGCTCAGGGAGATGAGGGGTGTGCCCTCACATCTCAGAAAGACATGAGGTGAGTGGTCCTTGGACTTCCCACAGGGCAGGGAACCCTGATTGCTCTTTGGGATGACGAGGGAGGGGGACTTGCTGGGGAAGGGGGAGGGAAATGGGAGGCGGTGGCGGGGAGGACGCAGAAATCTTAAATAAATAAATCATAAAAAAAATAAAACATTAACCAGAAAAAAAAAAGAAAAAAGAAACACATGAGGGATGGGGCTTCAAGACCTAGGGAACTGAGACTAGGAAGGGCAGTCTCATACTGGGAGAGAAATGGTTCCAAGCTCCAGGGAGCCTGAGGAGGATATGATTGGTCTACTAGTCTTAGCACAGCGGGGAGAGGTGGAGCCTCGCATCCCAGGAGATGAGGGGTAGAGCCTCAGGTACCAGGGACTCTGTGGACCCAGGTAGAATGTAGGAAGGGGGCACTTCTGAGTGAGTTCAAGGTCCCTGTGCAACCTCTAATAGTACTAAAAAGGACTTCTGTTTCCAGATCCCAGGGACAGCCCCACATACATGTCAAGAGGATGTTGGGGCTCACCTCCACGGGTCTCTGCCCCATCCTGAGGAAGTATTTCTCCAGCACTGGGTTGGGCTTCATCTGCCTCCTGATTTGATCCCGCACACCCATCCACCGGCTCAGGGGCAAGGCCACAAATCTGAGTACAAAGGGAGACATAACCCAGTAGAACTCAAATGAATGGGGTGTGACCATAGCAAGAGGAAATGGGGGGAACCTGAGGCTCAGGCAAGCGTCATCAGCATGTATGGTTCAAATCTACTGAACAGAGGGTGTGGAAACACACAGCCAAAATGCCCACGCAGGAAGGAAATTTTTTACCAAACCTAGGAAAAGAGACTAGCATCATCTTCAGGATAGGGAAGTTCAGGCCAACTCACAGGGAACCCATGTTCCTTCACCCATCCTCAACCAGAACAAAAGTCCTCTGAGTCTTAGTCTCCCTGTGTGAGGCTCCTCAAGGGAGGGGCATCACCGGTTAAGTCCCACAATCCCTACTTCAGAGAAGGAACCTGGCTAATCAGTTCCCACATTGCCCACAAGAGGGTGCCCCAAGACCACAAATGGAGATTGAACGCCATCATCAGGGTTCTAGTATCTAAACCTCACTTAAGAAACTAGTCCCTCAAAAAGGAAGTGAGGGAGGGAGGGGGAAAAAAGAGAAAGAAAGAAAGAAAGAAAGAAAGAAAGAAAGAAAGAAAGAAAGAAAGAAGCAAACTAGTCCCTCTGAATGTGGTTGACAGTTGGGGCAGACTGAGGGGCCAATGACAATGGCACTGGGATTTGTCTCTACTGTATGTACTGGCTTTCTGGGATGCTATTCTCTTTGGATGTATACCTTGTTCAGTCTGAATGTAGTGGGGAGGGCCTTGGACCTTCCACAGGGCAGGGTGGCTTGCTCTCTCTTAAGATTGGAGGGGGAAGGGGGGTATGTGGAGGGAGTGGGAGGGAAGTGGGAGGAGGCGAGGAAGTGGGAATTTTGATTGGTATTTTTTAAGCAATAAAATAAAATAATTTTTAAAAAAAGGAACCTGAGACCTAGATCCATCTACTGAAAAACTTCTGTTAGATACCACAGTGGTGGAGCAAGGGAGACCAGTCTCTGCTGAGTACTTACCCCACATGGGGAAGTCCAAGCTATGATATTGTGTCTGCTTGCTTGCTTGCTTGCTTGCTTGCTTGCTAGCTACAGTCTCCCTATGCAGCCCAGCCTATGTTCAAACTGGCAATCCTCCTGCCTCAGCCTTCCCAATGCAGGGATTACAGTCATGTACCACCATGCCCAGCCTAAGATCACCACTTAAATGTGAAAATACACCCATCTGGGCTCCGGTGGTGAAGTTGGGCACAGTACCACCCTACTCTCCTGTCCATTAAGAGGTGGTGGCCTTTTTGGAGGAGGAGTGTCATGAGGGGGTGGGCTTGGAAGTCTCACATATGCTCAAGCCACACCCAGGGTCTCAGTCACTTCTTGCTGCCTGCAAGACGGAGGACGACACTCAGCTACTTCTCCAGCAACACATCTCCCTGCAAGCCACCATGTCACATGATGATAACAGAATAAACCTCTAAAAATGTAAGCCACTCAAATTAAATGCTTTTCCTTTATGAGAGTTGTCATGGTCATGGTGTTTTGTCACTGCAATAGAAACCCTAATTAAGACATCTCCCATCCCTGCTTTTCCCAGCTTCTATGGGAAAGCAACCTTCTTTGAAGGCCTGTCTAAACTGGGCTTCCCACAATTCCTACATACCCAGCTGATCTGCAAATGTTACTTAGACATGTTACTAAAGCACTCTGTGTCTCCATTTCTTCCTTCGTAAAGCAGGACTAATAGTAGTTCTATCTCATATATGGGCATCATGAATTGAGCTAAGACATGCAGACATCTTAGAGTTGTATATGGCAGAGGTGCCTTCAAAAGTATATGAAGGGACTAGGGAGATAGTTCAGTAAAGATATTTACCACACAAGCATGAGGACATGAGTTCAAATCCCCAACACCCATGCAAAAACCTGGATGTGGCCATATGCCTGCCTGGGGGTTGTGGGGAGAGAGAAAGAAAGATCACTCGGGCTTGCTAGTCACCCTGCTGGAAGGCAGTAAGATAGTGACAGGAGTATGTGCTCCGACTTCTGCACACATATACACATTTAAAAAAAAAATAAGTCTATGAGGTAAATATAACTTCAGCAAATGCTTCTTAGATCACTCACATCCTGTCTGTGTTCAGGGGGCTGAGAGCTCAAAAACCCCTTGATGGTGGGAACCACAAACCAAGTGCACTTCTGGTTAGGGCTTGACGCTAAAATGGGATCCTCCTGAGATAGACCAAGGGCTCTGTCTTGAAACACAAGCTTAGAAGAATTGCAGAAGTCTGGAGATATGACTGAGATGGGAGAATGCTTGCAGAGCACGAATTGGGAGTGGTAGCAGATGCCTATCATAAAACACTTACGAAGTGGAGGCAGGAAAGCAAGATGTTCAAGGGGCTAGAGAGGTGGTTCAGCAGTTAAGAGCACTTGCTGTATTTCCAGGAATGTAGTTTAGATGCCAGCACCCAAACCAAGTGGCTCCTAACCACCTGTAACTCCACCTCTGGGGAATCTGACACCATTTTCTGACCTGTGGGCACCTGCATGCTCATAGTACATATACACACATACACATGCATGCATGCATGCAAATGCAGGGCTCCACCAGCCACAGCATGGCACTCACCTCTCAAAGACGATACGCACAGCCACCAGGACCAAAGCCACTGGCAAGGCAGCAAGCATGTGGTGAGGGTGGGCGAACACCAGGCCATCTCGGTCCTCCAGCTGTGCCCATGTGCTGTTGGGTGGTAACCAGTACTTCTCCTGCCACAGCCACTCACTGAAGCTGAACAACATGCTGTGGAGACACAATCAGGTAAGTGCAGATCAACTCAGCTAGAAGCGTGTATACCATGGAAGAGGCTGAGCATCCAGAGCCACAGAGCATTCTACTTGAAGGAACGTCAGAAGAGGGGAAGACTGGAGAGAAGGCACGGTGGTTTAGAGCACGGACTGCTCTTCCCAAGGACCAGGGTTCAATTCCCGCCTCCCACACAGCAACTAACGGCCATCTGCAACTCCAGCTCTAGTGGAGTCAAAGCCTCCTGGTTCTCACAGGCACTGCACTCGTGGTGCACAGACATACATGCAGGCAAAACACCCATACACACTGGGGTGGTCTGAATGGGAATGCCTCCAGAGACCCACACATTGAATGTTTGGTCCCTAGTTGAAGGACCTTTTAATTTAAGAAGAATTAGGCGCTATGGCTTTTGGAGAAGGTGTGCCACTGAGGTGCGAACTCTAGGCCCAGTGTCCCTCTGCCTACAGGTCAGGATATAAACTCTTAGCACCAGACTTGCCTGCCTGTTGGCACACTCCCTGCCATAGTGATAATGAACCAACCCTCTGAAGCTGTAAGCAAGCCCCAATTAAATATGTCTTTTCCTTCCTCAAGATCCAGCAATACCACTTTGGGGTATATATCCAAAGGATGCTCAATGGTACCACAAGGACATGTGCTCAACTATGTTCATAGCAGCATTGTTTGTCATAGCCAGAACCTGGAAACAACCTAAATGCCCCTTGATTGAAGAATGGATAAGGAAAATGTGGTACATTTACACAGTGGAGTACTACACTGCAGAAAAAAATAATGACATCTTGAAATTTGCAGGCAAACGGATGGATCTAGTAAACATCATATTGAGTGAGGTAACCTAGACCCAGAAAGACAATTATCATATGTTCTCACTCATAAGTGGTTTTTAAACATAAAGCAAAGAAAAACCAGCCTACAAATCACAATCCCAGAGAACCTAAACAACAATGAGGACCCTAAGAGAGATATACACAGATCTAATCTACATGAGAAGTAGAAAAAGACAAGACCTCCTGAGTAAATAGGGAGCATGGGGACCATGAGAGAGGGTTGAAGGGAAGGGGAGGGGAAGAGAGGGGAGCAGAGAAAAATATATAGCTCAAAAAAATCAAATTAAAAAAAAGAAAAAAGTGATTAGGCAGTGGTAGAATAGCTGGACACGCTAAAGCAACATTGAGGAAAGTCATTCATGGCTATAATGACTGGACATGTTTGGATGTAGAGATTACGATTACTGTGATGAGAATAACTAATGTAGAGTGCACAATGCACCATGTGTGCCACAGAAACTTGTCTGTTTTCACTGGGACAGGGAAACAGACGTGAGAGTGTCAGGAGAGCATATAGAACTGGGTTAGCAAGTCATCACCTAACAAGGACAACTAAAGAAGTTAAGAGATGAAGTATATTTCACACATTAGTGAATCAAAAAGTATAAAAATTAAAGAATACAAAAAATAAAAATTCTTCTGCCTAAATGTGAAAAAAAGTCAAATAGTAAAGAATTACCTAGAATAAGCACTGAAGTTCCTTATTTTTACAGCAACCCTGATTCTTTCCTTTGAGAAGACTTTCTTAGAGTTGGCTGTGTATTCTTCCAGACATTTCAATATGCACATGGATGAGTTTGTTTAAAGTAACTTCCTATAATAATCTTCACAAATATATGCATTTGTTTGGCTTTTACTACATTTAATAATAGATATGGAGTATATTTTTATTTCAACATTACAGATCAATATTTTTCTTACTATTTTATGTTTAATTGGATATAAAGAAAATCACAGGCAGGGTGGTGGCGACGCACGCCTTTAATCCCAGCACTCGGGAGGCAGAGGCAGACGGATCTCTGTGAGTTCGAGGCCAACCTGGTCTACAAGAGCTAGTTCCAGGACAGGAACCAAAAGCTATGGAGAAACCCTGTCTCGAAAATCCAAAAAAAAAAAAAAAAGAAAGAAAGAAAGAACGAAAGAAAGAAAGAAAATCACAGTACAATTGCATCATCTGACTAATAAGAAACCAAAGGACTTTTCTTTTAATTCTGTAGACTTTCACTGTTTTCCTTTTATTATTGTTTGATCTCTTTGTTCTATTTGTTCTCTGAGTTAAAGTTTATTTTATAAGTTGCCACGACCATGGTGTTTCATCACAGCAATAGAACAGTAACTAAGACACACATAAAAATAAATAAATCTTTTAAAAGTCAGTAAACAATACTGTAAACAATACAGTAAACAAATCTCTGGTTTGTCTGAGAAAGCATTTCCATGGTTAGATCCTGGAAGTTCTGACTCAGTGGTTCATCCTCCATGAATACAGAAAAAAGTAGGAACAGCGCTTGGAGGTTGCAGGGCACGTTCTTGGGGCCGCATTGCTTGGGGGTTGCAGGGCACGTTCTTGGGGCCGCATTGTGCCTGAACCCTGCCTCTAATCCTTTTTATCTGCTTCCTGACCACGGTGTCTCAAACTGCTCTGCTCCACCACAGCCTCCACATGAGGTAATGATGCTTTCCAAGTAGAAACCCAGGACAAATCTTTTGTCCATTAAATTGTTTGATATATGTTTTGTCACAGTGATGAAACCACTTAACTTGAGGTTTGATGTCTGCTGGTGTGGTTTGGTTTTCTTTATTTTGTTTTTGTTGGAAGCAGTTGTTTCGTTTTTCTTTTCTTTCAAGATGAAATTTAATAGAATGAACTACATAAAAGCCAGAGAGGCGTAGCAATTTATCTGTAACCCCGCCCATAGGAGGTGACGGCAGGATTTTCCCAGAGCATGCTAGCTAATCAGAAGGGCTAAAAAAAGACCTTGCATGGATGAGTAAGGTAAAGGGCTGATGTGGGAGTCCCCTCTGTCTGCTATCCAGGGTGACTGTACAGGCAGCAAGATGTCTCTGTCAATTTTAGAGTTTTGGAAGTTGCTAACAATGCACTTCCTGCTTACTTGGGTAATATTATATCCTTTGGGATCTTTGATGGAATTGAAGACAAGATAATTATAATTATAAATTTTAGTTATGATAAGCATTTCATCTTGGTTGGTTTAATTTCTGGCTTGGTCATGGACCAGTTATGTAACCTTGGTAGTAGATGACTTAATCTATGTGTCTCACCTTCCCCATCTGTAAATGGGATCCACAATAATCCCTTCCAGGAGGACTGGGAGGTTGGGAACGATGCCTAGAGCTACACAAGTGACAGTCAATAATGGTCACCAGAGAGAAAATTGATGGTCTGTGAAAGATTGAGAAGTCGTTGGTATATGGCAGCTTCTGGAAGATTCTTTGTGTTGTGGGGTATATAGTGGTATATTATTTCTGTTTTAATAAATAAGCTTGTCTGAAAATTAGAGGGTAAAGCTAAACCACAAGAGGTCAGGCAGTGGTAGCACACACCTTTAATCACAGGATTTGGGAGATAGAGGCAGACAAATCTCTATGAGCTTGAGGCCACCCTGGACTATACAAAATTGATCCAGAAAACAGATCCAGGTGGTGGTGGCTCACACCTTTAATCCCATTACTAGGGAGTCACATGCCTTCAATCCCAGCATTAGAGAGGTGGAGACAGGAGTGATATGGCTGGGTGGAGAGAGAAATATAAAGGGGAAGAGACAGGAACTCGCAGGAGTGTGGAGTCTGAGGTTGGTGGAGAGCACTGCAAGATTATCCCTTTGTTTGAGCCTTGGCAGAGGTAAGATTTCTCCAGTGGCTTGACTGCTTTGATTTTCTGATCTCCATCTTGAACCCCAATATCTGTCTCTTGAGTTTTTATTATTCATGCAACAAGGTAGTATATGCATATATGTACAAGTGCACGGGCCCATGCACGCACATGTGGAGCCCAGATTATAGTGGCTACCTTCCTAACTAGCTTGTTTTCCAGCTTATTTTTTGAGACAGGGTCTCTCACTAAACCCACACCTTGCCAGTTGACTAGACTGACTAGCCAGTGAGCTCCCAAGAGCTTCCTGTCTCTGATCCCCAGTACTGGCATTACAGGCATATCCATGAGAGCTGGGGACTTGAACTCAAGCCCTTTGCACACTGAGTCAGCACCGAGGCCTTGGATGATTTTCTTCATGCCCCTTCCCCACCCCTATCCCCAGTTCTGAGAGTAGAACCCAGGGCTTTGACCAGGCTAGGCAAATGCTACCCAGAAGACACATCCCCAGCCCTAACTAACACGCTACCATTAGCTGTGACCCTAGTCCTTCACTGGGGATTTCTAGGTTTCCATTGCTCTCAGTAGTGCATTAGGCTGAGAATCCATCAGCCACTCAGTTTTCTGGTGAGCCCAGAGGGCTCATGATCCAGTTACATTCAGCAGGCTTCCTTGCCGAACACTGACCCGCCAGGGACATAGCCCTCAACATGTATACTTCTGGGGAATATTTATAATCCAGATCCCCACAGGAGAAAAGTTCACATGATCCAGCAGTCAAGAGACAAAGGGGTCAGGTGTGGTGGCACAGGGTCCTCTCTGCACGGAAGGCTCATACCTGGCTGCAGGGTGGCTACTGTGCCTGTGGTCCCAGACTTGTGGGGTGAAGCGGAGTGACTTGCAGATGCCTGAAGAATCTGTTTCACTAAAACACTTAATTTTTTTAACCTTTACTTTTATTTTGTGTGTATGGGTGTTTTGCTTGCATGCATGTCTGTGCACCATGTATGTACAGTGCCCACAATGGCTAGGAGAAGGCACCAGATCCCCTGGAACTGGAATCACAGATGATTGGGAGCTGCCATGGAGGTGCTGGGAATTGAACCTGGGTCCTCTGCAAGAACAGCCTCTCTCTTAATGAGTGAGCCATCTCTTCAGCACCTCACTAAAAACTCTGAAACTCAGTATGTGATGCCATTGTGTCTGTGTGGGCACACCTGTGTCACAGCATCCATGTGGAGGCCTGAGGACAACTGAGGGAGTTAGTGCCCCCTTTCCACTCAGCAGTTCAACTCAGGTCGTCGACTTAGTGG